TCACTTTGTTAGAAAATGTGGAAACCTGAAGAAAGTTATCTTGGAATGATCCAGTAAAAAAACAAACTTGGGTTGATGGAAAAAATGATTTAAAGATTGAAAGAAGAGATAAATTAGTGTCCAAAAATATATCATGTTGAGGATGATGAATGTGTGAAAGGAGAATGATAGTGATTTAAGGAGGGCGTGAGGGAGTAATAGAGTAGAGGAAGAATGAGGTAGCAAGGAGAACCATGGAGCCATTACCTGTACATTAGCAGTGATTGTCTCAGCAGGAGCAGCACCAGTGGAAGGTTGGAAGACAACACTATGGTGGGATGTAACCGTGTATTATGACACCATTATAGTTTAGTAGGAGGGTTTCTTGGGGAGAGGGGTAGGGTAACACAGAATGTTACTTACTGGAGTGAGTATTATACTGGCGAGAGTATTATGCCAGAGTAAGCTTTAAAGACAAGCTTCCTGTGACAGTAATAGCTAGTAAGGAGTAAGTATTTTAGACAAACATACTGGAGGGTCATAGGCAAACATACTGGAGTAAGTATTATAGACAAACATACTGGAGTATTGTAACATTGTAGACAAACATACGGGAGTATTGTAACATTGTAGACAAACATACTGGAGTAAGTATTTTAGAAAACATACTGGAGTAAGTATTTTAGACAAACATACTGGAGGGTCATAGGCAAACATACTGGAGTAAGTATTATAGACAAACATACTGGAGTATTGTAACATTGTAGACAAACATACGGGAGTATTGTAACATTGTAGACAAACATACTGGAGTAAGTATTTTAGAAAACATACTGGAGTAAGTATTTTAGACAAACATACAGGAGTATTGTAACATTGTAGACAAACATACGGGAGTATTGTAACATTGTAGACAAACATACTGGAGTAAGTATTTTAGAAAACATACTGGAGTAAGTATTTTAGACAAACATACAGGAGTGTTATAGGCAAACATACTGGAGTATTATAACATCATAGACAGCCATACTGGAGTAAGTATTTTAGACAAACATACTGGAGTATTGTAACATTGTAGACAAACATACAGGAGTATTGTAACATTGTAGACAAACATACTGGAGTAAGTATTTCAGACAAACATACAGGAGTGTCATAGGCAAACATACTGGAGTAAGTATTATAGACAAACATGCTGGAGTATTATAACATCATAGACAGCCATACTGGAGTAAGTATTTTAGACAAACATACAGGAGTAAGTATTTTAGAGAAACATACTGGAGTAATGTAACATTGTAGACAAACATACAGGAGTATTGTAACATTGTAGACAAACATACTGGAGTAAGTATTTTAGACAAACATACTGGAGTTTATAGGCAAACATACTGGAGTAAGTATTATAGACAAACAAACTGGAGTATTATAGGCAAACATACTAGAGTAAGCATTATAGACAAACATACTGGAGTAAGTATTATAGACAAACATACTGGAGTAAGTATTATAGACAAACATACTGGAGTAAGTATTATAGACAAACATACTGAAGTATTTTAGACAAACATACTGGAGTAAGTATTATAGACAAACAAACTGGAGTAAGCATTATAGACAAACAAACTGGAGTAAGCATTATAGACAAACATACTGGAGTAAGTATTTTAGAGAAACATACTGGAGTAAGTATTATAGACAAACATACTGGAGTAAGTATTTTAGACAAACATACTGGAGTTTATAGACAAACATACTGGAGTAAGTATTATAGACAAACATACTGGAGTATTATAGGCAAACATACTAGAGTAAGTATTATAGACAAACATACTGGAGTATTAAACATTATACATTATATTATATACATTATACTGGAGTAAGTATTACAGACAACAAACTGGAGTAAGCATTATAGACAAACATACTGGAGTAAGTATTATTGACAAACATACTGGAGTAAGTATTATAGACAAACATACTGAAGTAAGTATTATAGACAAACATACTGAAGTATTTTAGACAAACATACTGGAGTAAGTATTATAGACAAACAAACTGGAGTAAGCATTATAGACAAACAAACTGGAGTAAGCATTATAGACAAACATACTGGAGTAAGTATTATAAACAAACATACTGGAGTAAGTATTATAGACAAACATACTGGAGTAAACATTATGGACAAATATCCTGGAGTGTGCATTTTAAGTTTACTTCAGTAGGAATTATTTTAGAGTATGCACCAGCGGCAAACTGTCTTGCAACAGTTATTGTGAAAGAAAAATATAAACATGACCAAGAAACCCTTCCAAGTGAGGTGTGAGTCTGTCAGCAAGTCAAACTGAAAGGGGTATTTAGAAAGGGCATGGGTGGGGTGTATGTGTGCCTCTCCCTCACATCAACACCCTTTCTCTGTCTACATCCCCTGAACCCCACTGAGGGGCAGGGCAGGGCGGTGCATGTGTTACCCTGAACAAACATCTCCATCTGGTCTTATTTCATCAGTTGTTCCAAGCATGTAACTCATACAGCTTTCTGCAGGAATTTACATCTCCTCCACTTTGTTAGGGGTGGGGGCAGGGGGAGAGGCTGCTGTTACTGTAGTAGCTGGGAGTGGAATACACCAAACTGAACCGGTACTCCCATCCTTACTTACTACGGTAGATGCTGCTCGCCTGTCTACATGCCCGACCGTCTTTGTCAGCATGCACAGAGCGCCCAGATTGAGGTATTTTGACTGTCTGCATGTGTGGGGTACAACCTCTCCTAACAGGCATCAACAATATTTACACAACACAGGGGATAAATCTACTGCAAGATAATATCATATTTGTTTTAGGGACAGATGTTTCTGTTTAGAACTGTTTAAATATATTTTTTTTCATAAATTGAAAACAGACTCAAATATCCATGCTTTGTGCCTTTCCTAAGGATATCTGTACTGTTACACATGGAAAATGTGGCATTAATTAGTTTGTGTGAGTAAAGAGATAAGAGGATTGTAGTGTACAGGTGAAATGCATGTCCCTCGTCTTACCAGGTGAATGTAGGACTGTCGGTGACAGGTGGAAGGATCGTAGCATTTTTGTATGGGGATAAAGCAGGTATTAACTGAAACGTTCCTGTCTATTTTTGTTCAAGAGCATGCTGTACTGAAATCGTGTTGTTTAATTTGTGAGGGAGATATTTATGTCTCAGATGCTTGTTGTGAGATAGCCAAGGAGATAAAGGAAGAAGAGATATGATACACTCGTTTCTCACTTATCACTCATACCAGTGCATGCTCCCCAGCAAGGAAACACCAACCATGGGGACCTTGGGGCATTTATGTACTCAGTGATTTTGCTGGAGACAAATGGCACCAGGATTTTGTCCTGATTTTTATCAACTTTGATGGGACATTTTTCCATTTCTACAGTTGATATTTTCGATGACAATCAGCGTATGGCCGGGAATATGAACCAGTTTGGACCAGAACAAGTTATTTACAGGCCACCATCATATGCAAATTTAGTTAGAATTAGTAGCTAAAAAAACAAACACCAAAAAACACTCAAGCATATCCTCGTCAGGGGGTGGTCGGGTAGCCTAGTGGTTAAAGCGATCACTCGTCACGCCAAAGACCCGGGTTCGATTCCTGACATTGGTACAATGTGTGAAGCCCATTTCTGGTGTCCCCCGGCGTGATATTGCTGGAATATTGCTAAAAGCGGCATAAAACACACTCACTCACTCGTCAGTCACTCAAAATCCACCCACCCCACTTCATTTATGTATCATATAGGAATCTTACTATATATAAGTATGGCTACATCAGTATCTACATCGAAATGTCGGTATATGCAATAAACCAGAAGCTGTTATCCATAAAGTTTTCTTACTTACTCACCAACTTCTATAATGCCAATCAAACAGTTATGAGTATCGCTATTATGGGCTATAAACTCTGAGGCACCACTACCCATGTTAATGTTACAACACTGTTAGACTGTAGCCCCTACACATCTGCATTGGACAAAATAGCATGTAGTCTTGACATATGAAAGGAATCCATGGGAAGTAGTGTGTTGGGATGTAGCTTGGTGGCATTTGGAAGCCGATACCCAATCTAACCATGCCACCCAGGTCACTGAAGAATTAGGTGAGAAAACATTCTGCTGTAGACCATCTTTCCTGACTTGCTTGGTTAATGGCAAGATCTTGATGACCTTTAGATGTTTGTTTAGAGCATGTATCCCTGTTAGAAGCTGATTTGGTAATGGTGGGAACATAGTTCACATCACCTCGTATCTACATGCCGGTGTTGTACCAGCCTGCCGGCGTGCTCATCACTTGTGTGTGTGTGTGTGTGTGTGTGCACATGCTTGCTCATCGCCAGGCAAGGCATCTTGAGTTTCCTTAGGGAAAGAAAGAAAGTGTTAAAAACATGGTCTTTTGCTCTTTCTTGATGAAAATACAAGCATTTGTTGTTATCAAGGAATATCTACTGACTTGGTTGTGAACTAGGTTGTTTCATCAACAAATATTGGAGGGTTCTGTTGAAGCTGTACACTGTATCTTTACCTTGTTTGTATTTGTTTGGTGCAGGCAGCAGCATTCCTGCTGTATCGTGCTACTTATAATAATCAGTAAGTTAGGGCATGATCAACATTCTTTGCTACAAGGGCATGATGACATGCAGTCAGTCAAGTCACTGATCCTGAACATCCAAGCCCCGTTTTATACATCAGTAACTGATGGCATCATCAACATTCCATACCTTGGGGTCATGATGACATGCAGTCAGACACGTAACACAGTCTGACCACCCAATACCCATAGAGTCAGCTGGTACAACAGGCTTGAGGTGCCAGGGACCTTTTTCTTACCTGGAATAAGAACAGGGGTACAGTTTATCATTTGAGATGTAACTTTGCAACAATTTGTGCATTCTGCTACTGGTGGAGTTCTGTGTCCCCAGGTTCAGTTGACAGCCTCTGTATTGACTGGTGTCTGATGATGATGTCTTCTCTCCACAGGTTCCTGGTCCACATCTAGAGTCTGTAACAGTGGCACAGCAGCAGCAGCAGCAGCATGGTCTCCTCCATGACCAGCAGGACAACCAGTGTCTTCACATTAGGATCAGTTGCTGATCACAACCTCCTTTATAACTTCAACTTGACAATTTTTATTGCAAATTCCATGTGTTTGTGATATCAGACTTTTGCCACATGGACTCACTCAGAAGTTGACTGGCCTTCATAACTCTTATGGAAACATTCACTGCTGATGGGGTTTACCTCTTTGGCCATGTGGAGAAGGTGTCCGACCTTGGATCTGGTGGTCCCATTGCAGGAGTTGAAAATGTTTTTGCCATTACATTTACAGTATACTATTGTTTGTTGCTAAACTTTTTTTGAGGTATTGTTATATAAGCACAATGTTCATAAAACAAGATTATTACATAATGCATATAATAGTGATATGTTTTGTTTGGGAGAGTATGTAACATGCTAGCACTGATATCCTATTCTTCTACTTAGGGCATGTATGCTATGAGCACCTATCGCACCTGCATATATTATATCCCAGTACCTGTGACAGAAAATAGTGATATACCAAATATCTAATCTTGAGGGAAAATTTGATGGATAGACATCGTAGATACTACTTCCGAGTACAAACAAGGGTTGTCTTTAACCATAGATAAATATAGGAAATAAACCATTATATTTAAATTATACATGTTCATGTCTTCATGAATATGTGTTATCGTTCCCTAGATCTTAGCTTGTACCAGAATGGTCAAGATTTAAATTATTACTTGCTGCAAGGAGACCAGTTGAGAGTTCTTGTTTCTCAGGATTATTTTCAGAACTGACCAGGGAGGGAGGGGAGATCATATTTACTATTGTATTTTTTCGTAGGTTACAGATCTATGATAGTAAATGATTTGGGGCATGATATGTTATTAAGTGTATTTGAATGGCATGAGCAAAAAGTTGAAATCTGGAGCAAGAATAAAATTTGACAAATTTAACAAATTTAAAAAAAATTGTGTTTTGACAGTACTTAAGAATATTTTAAAATGAGAGGCTGGATGGCCAATTGTGGGATAAGCATGTCATAGAAAACAGGACTTTCATTTTAACTGTACTGCGGCTATAGTAGTGCTGAACATAAGGTAAGACTACAATCATGCTCTCACGTTTAAAAGTTACCCACTGTCCAGCAGTGCGGTAGATGGGTTGCTGCCCAGCACATCAGAGTAAGTGTTTACTTGTCAAGTTTGTATATCTGAGTTGTTTTGCCGTTCTGCCAGCACCTGGGTGATGTTTGTGGGGATAGTGACCAAGTGGGAGTAATGTATACCAGCATACAATATGTCTTGATGAGAGTCCACATATCTTGTGGGTACATGTTAGAACTGTGTGTGTCTATTTGTTTGAAACATTATAGATGAGATATAAGCTCATTGGTATTCACCTTGGCTCAGAAAACACAAGAAAACAGCTGAAGTGATGTAGACAGCATGACTAAACGGGATTATATGGGATTTTAAATTTTCTGGACCCTGGTTTACTGTCCAGTCAGCTGGGCCTTACCACATCAGAAAGACACAGGTTGCAAAGTTACTTAATATAACGGTATAAAAATCCAGCCATTTCCAATTTTGAGGTCTATAGCCCTGAATTCAGAAAGTCTCAATACAATTTATCCAAACCGGGTCCCAGGGGATTGGACTTATATCGTCTAAGGTACAAGAAATTGACCTGTTGTTTAACAGTGGCCGACTTCTGTTGGAGGTTTTGCTAATTAACCACCCAAGTTGTTAAGCCTGACAGCTACCTTCAGGTTAATATCACTCACAACACCTCACACGTACCAGATATTGTGTCAGTGTCAATAGATCACACTCCAGTTTCATTTCAAGACCTCGGAATAAGGGAAATATTGAAGTACAAGGTCATGGAACATAAGGCCCATATTAACATGGTCAGCTGTTGGTTGGCCTAATGTCAGATTTCTTTAATGCCTGTAAGTGGGAACTGGACTGGATTATCTTTTGTGAGCGTTTTTTTCTTCTTATAAGTTTGATTATTGTTTTAAATAATTTGCTTTCTTGTTATGAACATAACCTGTATTAATATTGATCAAATTCAATATGCCACTGCAATTGATTTAAGAAACTAAACAGTGAAAGTTACTTGTACATGTGGGTACTGTACCATGTTATTATTTATGGTAATCTTGTATATAGATGCAGCTATTCTCTACATTATTGTTATCTGTTGGGCGACATTGTGTTTTATGTGCTGTTTGTGTGACGAGCTCTCACACATCTGGGTGAATAATATTATTTCTACAATTTAAGTTGTTTGTATTTGTTTTCCCTCACATACATTAGTACAGTGTCTGACTCTGTGTGTGTGTGTGTGTGTGTGTGTGTGTGTGTGTGTGTGTGTGTGTGTGTGTGTGTGTGTGTGTGTGTGTGTGTGTGTGTGTGTGTGTGCACCTTGAACACCTTGAACACATCAACCTTGGGTTGTGGCACTGGCTTTACTTTCAACACCTTGAGCACATCAACCTTGGGTTGTGGCACTGGCTTTACTTTCAACACCTTGAACACATCAACCTTGGGTTGTGGCACTGGCTTTACTTTCAGCACCTTGAACACATCAACCTAGGGTTGTGGCACTGTCTTTACTTTCAGCACCTTGAACACATCAACCTAGGGTTGTGGCACTGTCTTTACTTTCAACAACTTGAACACATCAACCTAGGGTTGTGGCACAAGCTTTACTTTCAGCACCTTGAACACATCAACCTTGGCTTGTGGCACTGTCTTTACTTTCAGCACCTTTAACACATCAACCTTGGGTTGTGGCACAAGCTTTACTTTCAGCACCTTGAACACATCAACCTTGGCTTGTGGCACTGTCTTTACTTTCAGCACCTTTAACACATCAACCTAGGGTTGTGGCACTGGCTTTACTTTCAGCACCTTGAACACATCAACCTAGGGTTGTGGCACTGGCTTTACTTTCAGCACCTTGAACACATCAACCTAGGGTTGTGGCACTGGCTTTACTTTCAGCACCTTTAACACATCAACCTAGGGTTATGGCACAAGCTTTACTTTCAGCACCTTGAACACATCAACCTTGGGTTGTGGCACTGGCTATACTTTCAGCACCTTGAACACATCAACCTAGGGTTGTGGCACTGGCTTTACTTTCAGCACCTTGAACACATCAACCTAGGGTTGTGGCACAAGCTTTACTTTCAACGCCTTGAACACATCAACCTTGGGTTGTGGCACAAGCTTTACTTTCAGCACCTTGAACACATCAACCTTGGGTTGTGGCACAAGCTTTACTTTCAGCACCTTGAACACATCAACCTAGGGTTGTGGCACTGGCTTTACTTTCAGCACCTTGAACACATCAACCTAGGGTTGTGGCACTGGCTTTACTTTCAACACCTTGAACACATCAACCTAGGGTTGTGGCACTGTCTTTACTTTCAGCACCTTGAACACATCAACCTAGGGTTGTGGCACTTGCTTTACTTTCAGCACCTTGAACACATCAACCTAGGGTTGTGGCACTGGCTTTACTTTCAGCACCTTGAACACATCAACCTAGGGTTGTGGCACTTGCTTTACTTTCAGCACCTTGAACACATCAACCTAGGCTTGTGGCACTGTCTTTACTTTTGAAGATTGTGTAATTTGTTTTTTCACTGTTATCATTTCCAACTATCTAAGGAAGATTATGAATCAATTGATGGTTGGGTCTGTTTCCGGAAGCCTTCTCAACAAGCTATTAATATTTCTGTATGAAAGTTGGTGAGGGGACATGTCAGCTTGATGGATCTTCCTTGATGTAATAAGGATCTTGCTATGCTGATGTATGATAAATGACAAAAGAGCGAGACTGAAGAGAGTTGCAAGAATATATACAATCTCAACTGCATGGACAGATTGAAGTCTTTCATGTCTTCCTACTTCGTACATTGAAGTTTACTTCCAAAATCATGGTTAAAGCAATTCCCCACATGGGTATAATGTATGAAGTTGAATTCTATTGTCCCCAGAATATTGCTAAAAGCAGTAAAAAAACGAAACAAAACATACCCACTCACCCACTCACTCACTCTCAAAGGGTCTCTGTGAGGATTCTGGGTTACAATAAGTCCCAAGCAAACTTTAGTGAGAAGCAGCCACATGGATTTGGTAATCAGGCTCCGTCACGTGGGACGTTACTCATAATATCAATCACTGGTAGACAGACACTTATTTACAGTCCCCATCATATAGCTGGAATATTGTCAAGCACTCTGAAAATCCACCACTATATTAGGGTTCATTAATATCAAAATCAGAAGATTCAGGAAAATTGTTTCCTCTTAAATTACATAAAAGAAAAAAATATCTGTTTCCTTTCTTTTGAAAAGATTAGTATACCTAATGCGAGCAGGATGACAATGGGTATCGATCCTGTTCGCCACGACCAAGACATTTGAGACACGATGCTGACCACATGTTTTAATTTGGAGTTATCTCCCTTACGTTAATGACGAGCACGAGCCACTCTTAATGGGAGATTTGTTTCCTAAAATATATACATCAGACGTACTATAGAGCGACGACAGACTAATCAAGCCTGCTTGATATCTTACCGTAGAGTTACTGTTGAAATTAAACATTGATTAGTATGTTAGCTGGTGACTTTAAATGTGCCATTAGTGTAACGATGCCCATTACAGGTGACTAGGCAGTCATCTCAACGCAACATATCTACAACATTACAACAAGAGGTGAGGTGAGGTGAAATTGGGTTTAACGTCGCGTCCAAGATTATTGCACTTATAAAGCGACGTCCATGCACGTGTATGTGTGTGTGTGGCTGCTTGTACTAGTCCGGACTGATGCCGATTTATAGGACTAGCTCACTGAGATACCATGCCGCAGTTTAACATGAATACCCCACTGAGACACAGTATACTGACTCCGAGCCGACCAGTCCTTGTTTTAGCCCCTTAATGCCGAGCGCCAGACAGGGTAACAACAAGTACAATCTTTTAACGTCTTTTTGGATGACGCGGCCCGGGATCGAACCCTGGACCTTCCGCTCTCCGGGCGGACGCTCTACCACTAGACCACGTAGGCGGTCCATTACAACAAGACAAGCAGTCGGGTAGCACAAGACGGCAGATCTTTACCTTGCAGACAATGACCATTCTAGACAATTCCTTCCGTGACTGACTAGAGTCTGTGAACAAAGAAAGAAATGTTCCATTTAGAAGATTAGAAGAAGGCCTATATCAGCGTACGTCTAAGAGCATGATCTGTTACTTCCACTCTTCTATAGATGGATCGGTTGATGCAGCAGAGGAACTCCGATAAACGGTATTAATATTCTTAAGTGATAGAATGGATGAATGCGTAGGATTTGTTCAATCACTTTAAAAACCTCCCCAGTAGAAGCAGAAAGACCATTGTTGCGCGGAGGCTGCCCAGATCTTGAGAGGCCCGACAGGCTTGTCTTCGCCCCGATGAAGCAATTACGTGGGTCTTAGACACGCAAGGGATACGCTTATTCAGTTTTAGTAGATTATAAACAGTACAATTACATGCACTCCTTTAATCTCTATATGCAGGATATTTTGGGAATCTCAGCATATTTCTTTCTGTAAAATCGATCGTTGCAACGCCTTTTTTATTCATACTGGCCGCTATGTTTGTCGTAAGAGGCGACTAACGGGCTCGGGTGGTCAAGCCGCTGACTTGGTTGAAGCATGTCATTGTATCCCAATTGCGTGGATCGACGCTCATGATGTCAATCACTGGATTGTCTTGTCCACACGCGATTACTTACAGACCGCCGTCATATAGCTGGAATATTGCTGAGTATGGCGTTAATCAACAAACGGACAACCAAACAAACATGCTTGTTCGCAAGAGTCGATTAACTGGTAGTTACCATGTATGACATGGTGCTTGTTATTCTGCGTACCCCGATGGTGTGAAACGCTGCTCATACTATCGAACACTGTTTTCATTTAGCCCAGTCTTGGTAACTTACGAGTATTTGTGAACTAGCTTTACGATTGGTGATTCACTCATTGAAAGAATCTATCGCAAGTCTATGTTGAAGTATGGAAGTTTCGATCCAACTTAATTAAGTCATCGTGACCCCTTGAAACGAATCGATGTTCATGAGAGGAACAATGTTCTGTCTCACACAGACTGACGGACACTTTGGAGATAGCCGTGATTTGACTGGACTATTGCCGAGTTTGCATAAACGTTTAAAGTTTTTATTATATTTTCACTCACTCCCATACATCGTGGTCGTTGATTGATCCAATACACCCCCAGTATACGTATCTTCATTATGATAGAAAGATATTCAATATGTATCTTCAGACGGCTAGAATGTGCAGACTCAGGATACTGAGATTTGGTAGTACATTCACCCTCTGTATCTCCAGATAGATCGATATCACCAATAAACTGACAACTGCGGATCCAGAGGAGGGGAGGGTGTCTAGGGAGTCCGCACCCCCATCCCCCTTCCCCTTTCGAAAACAAAAATGTAGTGTTGTAGGCAGTACAATTATCTGAGAGAGGATTTGGATAGCTTAGACCCCTTCCTTTAAAAATGGTGGTTCCGCCCGTTTGACATGCAAAGTAATCCCTCAACAATCTTTTTGATTTTTTTGTTGTGGTTTACCCATTTCCTTTTTGCTTATCTCAACGTTTTATTGGTTAGTAAAATGTTAATGAAAATCAAGGGCGGGTGATTTAAGATCGCCGAGCCGCGAGCCGGGAATGGATCCAGGAGTGAGTCTAGGTTGACCGAAATGCTAGCCCTGGGGATGTAGAAGATGTAGTTTAATAGGCATATTCGATATTCTTATAAGAGATGCTACTGTGGATCACATGACGGTTGCACTATTCTGTGTAGTGACAGAGTTTGGGAAAGGCACGTAAATGGATAACAGTTATATCATGGAACACGTCCCAAGCAGTGACTGGCAGTAATGTTGTCTCATGTGTTATTATGTTTGTGGTTTTCTTGTTTATACGTGTTGCTGTGAAACCAGTACTTGATAACGATCATGATACTCCATGCTAGTTGACATTGTTGTGGTCTCTTTCTGCGGGGAGGCAGAACGCAAACACACTAGTCACGGCACTGGGACGTAGCATATATCTGGCAGTATTGTGTTGGTATTGTTGCCGGCCACGCGACCAGCTGTAGATTATTGGTCTAAACTAGACCATACCTATGTCTATAGTACATCTGTACTCGATTCATTGTCTGTACGAAGTGTATCTGCTTCAGTTTTTGCTCGTAT